TTTACATTAGACGAGGAGGTCTCTCATCCAGCTCCTCTTCAGCCTCCTACGAACGTTACTTGGCATTTGCGTAATGGCCATGTCATTGATGAGTGTGTTAGGATGTACTTGTAAATCGTTTGTAATGAGTTTGTATGTGTTCGTTAATAGTCGGCATATGGAGATCAGTATATAAGGTTATGTTGCTAACGTACCAAGGTGCTTTTGTGATTGTCCTGAATATTTTTGTTTGGAAGATTTGAAGGTTTTTTATGTGTCTTTTTAGCTGGTCCAAATATCTATGATGCGTAAGTCAAAATAGGTTTTAGTAAGTAATTGTATGTGTTCAATTTCTGTCTAAGTTTTAGTATAGTAGAATGTTTCGAAACAAGTGTGTTCAGAATTTTGAGTCTTTGATTTAACGTTTTTCTCTTCTTTGTTATAAATGGGCCCCAGGTCATTTTTCTGTCAAATATCAGACCAAGGAAGTGAAAGGTGTCTGTCTGTGGTATCTGCGTACTGTCAAGAAAAACTGGTGGCCATGTTTCACGTCGAAGGGTAAATGTGATTTGTCTTGATGTAGTCGGATTTTTCAAACTTTGAACTAGTCATGTAATCTTGTAAAATGCTGTTGTAGGATCTGTGAGGCGTAAGTTGGACTTTTGTGTTTTGCTAATTTATAATATTAGGTTTATATGAGCATATTCTCTACATTTCTCGTGAAAACCTTTTATAAAATTATTTATAAGTGATAAATAAAAGTTAAAATAACAATATATAAATCCTGTACCCATAGGTATCAGGTCTGTAAAAGGAGAGGATTGGTCAAGGTTAGGCACTCTCGGCTGTTTCGGTATAGCTTCCAAATAGTATTTATCCTTTAGTTTCCAATATCTTTTCTTGATACATTAAATCTAACCATTTTTATATCAGTTGATAATGTTAAATGGTTAATAATTTCATTTAGAAAAGTTAAAGGTGTTTTAAATGAAGAAATGTCGAGAATTAGGCACTTAAACCAAGTTAGGGAACATCAATTAGAACAAGAGCTATATTATATTATAAGACTAATGAACAGCTGTGTAAGATTTGTGATCGGGGCCTCCCTCGGATGCTCCCGTTTCTCACCACTACGCTGAGTTAAAGTGGCTTTCCCCCTCTTCCGAAGATAATATTTCCTATGTACGTTCCTCTACCAAATCATCAACAACCATCGTCCTTCTTACGCCTTCAACCTTCTCCAGTTCAAATCTTCAGTCCATTCCCTGTCCACAAGATCTCGATCTTCTAACCTTTACATGCCTTCTCACAGATCTGCTTCATTCCAAAACTCCTTTATTGTTCGCTCTGGCAATTTCTGGAATTCCCTCCCTATCAAAATTCGACATTCCCCATCCAGCCCAAAAACAGTCAGATAGTTGCTAACCATTCGAGCTGATTTTATTTTTTAATTCTTTATTATTCTCTTAAGAGTGTATACTATCAGTGCAAATAGCTTTAATTGTCTTGTCATAGTATTAATTGTTTTGTATATAGTTTCGTTTGTTTTGTATATAGAATGTTTACCTTATATTTTCTTTACATTATTTCTTTTTTTCGATTGATTTTATTTTGGCCAGATGTAATCTTTTTATTTTGTTATTCTCAAGGGACAGTGTCCCAGAATAAAATTATTTTTCTATTCTATTCTATATTTAAAAACGATTAATTTTACACTTATATACCGAATTTAATCAAAATCGTTAGAGGCGTTTTCGGAAAAATAAGTAAAATCGATTATATAAAGTGCCACTTTCAGTAAGCAGATTTTGACGAAAAAATTTCTGTAATATCCAAAACATGTACAAACCTTAAATAAGCAATTTCACTTACGTCAAATAAGCAATTGCGACTTTTTGTTTTTGAGCTAGACTGATCACATTTACATAATTCTATGAGAATGTATATACTCATATAATAATGTAAATCATCAAGTTGGTATTTATCCTTAAATAAAAATTAAATTATTTCACTGAATTTTAAATCGATTTTAATAGTAATACAAGGGATATTAAATTTTTTTATGTATCCCATGGTATAAATGTTCTACTGGATATTTTGGATTTTAAGGAGTTTTATTTTGAAGGAACTCAATATTCTTTTTTTGTCCAACGTACACTGAAACCAAAGATAAATTGGTTGAATACGGGGTTATTATAGTTTTCACTGATTCATAAAATTTAGAATTATTTTCGTTTATTAAATCGTTTAGTTTTGTTTTATTTTTTAATTCCTCTTGAAGTATTCAGTTACGTTATACTATGTATGTTTAGTTTTCAGCGCATACATCGAGAGCCACACTAGAAAAACCTGTAAATACATTTTATAAACAAGATTAATCCCATCAGAATTTACTGAGGCGATGAGGTATAGTTTTGAATAACTTTATTGGTTTGTATTGAGTGCATTGAATATGCCGTAGCTCATGATTGACCAAATAGCTAAAATCGCATGTTATAATAATTTTTAATCCTATATAATTGTATATTATTTTTAAAATTTGTCTGTAGTGATTAGTAAGTATGCTGTGTTGTTGTATGTAACAACAACACAATGTAACAATATAATTGGGCAGCACCATTTTATGATAATAAAGTGATTTTCTCTCTTGTATTTATAAGATTTTGCAATTTAATTGTTGATATCATCTTCATTTTTTTTTTTTTTTTTATGCTTGGTGAAATCTTGTTTATCACTTTTCTCTGGAATAGTTTAAAAGAAAATTTTCTTATGTTACCCATAATCCTCTTAAAATAATAATATAAAGTCCTAGTAACTTTTATCTGGCTTATCAAAAATAAAGAAATTAAACTATAAGACCATAAAATATATTATTAAGTTATGACAAAATTGAATTTTTGAAAAAAAAAATGAATTTTCACAATGGTAATGAGTAAGGCGTCTCTAAACTACACATATAATTCAAGAAGCTACAGCTCTACAAAGATGCAGTTCTATTGAAGAGAAGTTTGTGGGTTGTGATAGAGTGAGGACGTGGGGTGAACCAATTAAGGATTCAGGAAGGCCTTTAAGTTTAAAAACATCGATAGAGATAGCCATCAAGGAAGTATTGACATAGGAACATTAAAGCCACTTCAGTTTGACTTATCAACTGAATAAATTTCAGCGCCTGGTAATCTCCCTGGGATTTATAATTGGGAGACCGGATTTTCGTGCAGTAAAAATCCGAAAAACCTAAAATTGTGTAATTGCACCTAAAAACGCTAAAATTATCAATATTTTTTAATTTATAACATTAATACATCGAAATCTTATCAGATCTTAAGTTAGCCGCGAGAAAAAAAAATTTTAATGTAACATTGAAAATGAAATTCTAGATTATAATCAGCTATTATTATAACGATTATTATCAAATAATGCAGAGAATTGAAGGTTTGAAAGATTAAATGAAGGCAGAAATTATAGGTGCCTATGTATATATTACATAGATCAGAAAAAATTTAGATATATAACTTTGATTAAAAATAATGATGAAAACTTTATTTTTTAATAGAGTTGAAATATATTATACATTCCCAAACATTTTTGTTGAAATTTAAAGAATTATGAAAAAAATTTGAAATAGACTGTAATATTTGAGATTTTCAAGTGTTCAAAAACTAGTGTTGAAGCTTTTTCCATATCACTAAATAACATATTTTTGGGAATTACTTTTTTTCTAAAAAAACATTCAATTCATTGATAAGAATTTTTTTTTTCTTACTTGTTCCCCAATGAACGTCTATCCACTATTTCCAATCACCTAATTCATTCATAACTTTCTCATCAAATTCTTCGTCCTCACATTTCAAATCGGGGTGTTTTTATGCCCAGATTTTAATTATTGACTTGAGACTAGATTATACTTTCAGCAGTTATTATTTTTTTTATAAGAATAAGATTTCTACAAATCAATTTAAAGCCAGAAGAGATGCTGAAGTGTTAAACGGTGGGTGAGGATTCAAGCCAAAACAATTACTAAATATGCCATCCTAACAAAGCAGCTAATTCTAGGAAAGCAGTTTTTTGTTATCCAATACTTTAGGCAAGTTCTATTCCAAGAATAGATCTTACTAGTGTTTGTTTACTTCTTCCTTTTGTAATGAATACGATTTTTGCTTCACACAGAATTATTTGTCTTCCTCATATATTTCTATTTTGATAATGAATTTAATTTGAACAATATAGTAAAATAAATTGCCTAATTTAGCACAAAGTGCAATTTAAGCCAAAAACGACGAATACGTTATTCTACAGGTTCTGAAACGGATAGATGTTCGGGTCCGGAGTTTCTACACGCCAGCGAATAAAAAGTGCAATAACATGGAAATCCGGTCTCTTATTATAATGTAGTAATTAATTGTATAGTTTATATTTATATTCAATTTTTTGAAGTATTATCTAAAAACCCAGAGGGATTGAAGATTTATCAAAAACCACAAAAAAAAAAAAGGTTTTGAGGGGTTTGTAATGATATAGTAATTTTAAATGTAAATAACACATAAAAAAAAACTTTTTAATGGGGTAGTCTAAATAGGTTTTATAATTATTTATTTTTTATACGTTGCATTACTCTTTACATTTCAATATTTCATAAGGCAAATATTTGTAATATATTGCACATATAAAGATTTTTTTTATTATTAATTTATTATCCGTTTTCAGCAAACCTAACTTTTTATTCTACCCATTAAAATATTTTTATCTTCCCAAATTCGTTCACGGTTTATTATTACGGTCCATAATATTATTATAAGTCCTGTTGTGATACTGTTATTTTCTTATTTTTGTTATAAATTTTTTTTTATTCTCATAATATATCTTAAATGATTCGTTATAATATTTTTCAAATATGTAATTCATACTGGATTGTAAGTTATTTATATACGACTAATGACCAGGATTACTGTGAAGTGCTCATACGTATGTTTGTGTTTTATGTTCATACCAATGTTCATTAACTGTATTTTTCTATTTTATAGGATTCAGACACGAGAATCATAATTGGAAGCTTCTCTCCTTCAGTAGCACCGAAGGTCTTTTGTGAGGTACGTCATTATATACATACATACATATATATATATATATATATATATATATATATATATATATATACACAAATAGATACAGACACACCTACATGAGGACTATGTATTAATTGTTTATAAATAATAATCATGTATTTGATGCATTGTATTTTTAATTTGTATTTTGCTTCACAACCGTTTCTAAAAAAAAAAAAAAAAAAGGAAATTAAATACAAATTTATGATTACCGCCAGGAATTTATTATTGCAATTTATATATATTTTTTTCTTTTTTAAACCAGTGGTTAAAACAAAACAAATTTTTGTTTATGGCCAAACTGTAAAAATAAACTAAGGATCTCAAAACATGAACAAATTTCCTCTGAAGGTATGTCCGCAAACGCATTATTAAGAAAATATTCACACCTAAAGATTTTCGTTGTTGTGAATGATTTACGTTATATGAAATAAATAAAACCTATTTATTTGTTTTAACTACTTTATTTATTGAATGTAATCACTAACATTCATATTAAATTTTGTTTAAAGTATTTTTTTTGTTCTGACTAGATGAGCATTAAGATAAGCTCAGCATATTTCTTTAACAGTAGCATTGTCAGAATAGTACTGGATATCTGTTATTGTTTCACAAGATTCAATTATGCTTAAGGATTTAAGGTCATTGACCGAACTTGCATAGAGTTTTTGTTTAATGTCACCCCAAACAGAAAAAAAGAGTGGTGTCAGGTCTGGAGAGCGTGCAGGCCAAGCCACTGGTTCTGTATGGCCAATCCATTGATTGGGATATAGGATATGATTGAGCAAGTCCGGTCAATGACCTTAATTCCATAATAAGAAGGATAATTGAACCTTGTGAAACAATAACACATATCCAGTGCAGTTCTGCCACTACTGCTTTTGAAGAAAGATGCCGATCCTGTCATAACGCGAAAGTAGTTAGAACAAATAAATAGGTTTTATTTATTTCATATAATGTAAATAATTCATAACAACGGAAATCTTTAGGTGTCAACATCTCCTTAAAAAAGAATTTGCGGACATACCTTCAAAGGAATTTTTTTTCTTGTTTTGAGATCCTTAGTTTATTTTTGCAGTATATATATATTTATATATATATATAAAAAATTCCTTTGAAGGTATGTCCGCAAATTCTTTTTTAAGGAGATGTTGACATACACATATATATATATATATATATATATATATATATATATATATATATATATATATTTATATATATTAACCACTCAATTCTAAACCTGCGAGATGACTGGAGCCTGCCCGAACAGAGTATACCAGTACGCAATGTATTACTACGTTGCGTTATAGTATATCTCCAGCGCCGAGCTTGCTCCTCCCATCAATTTATTTTTGTACTGTCCTATTTTCCAATACTTAAAATAGAATAATTAATGTTTTTTTTTTTTTTATTAATGTGAAATATATATATATATATATATATATATATATATATATATACATATATAGATAGATATATATATAAAGCAGTAAAAAAACTCACTTAAGAAACAGATGTTCAATGTTAAATTATAACTGAAAAAATTGTTGTTTCAAGTTCTATTTGTTTTATTTTTATTACATTTTTTTTATTTCTTTCTTATAATTGTCTTTTTGTTTTTGTTATTGTATATATGGTATTAATGAGTCTCGTAGCGCTAATGCTTGATGCCCTTAAATGAGGCCAAATGTACTATTTCATAATAAATAAATGAAATAAAATTCTTCTGCTTTATGTATCCCTAAGGGTATACGTCGATACTATAAGAGCATCCAATTGGATGTTGATTTTCATTTTCCTTTTATCTTCTGTCCTGATGATTTTTGAGGTGGCGTAATGTTAACGGGTACTTTGTTCTTTTCCTGCATTTTGGAAACATGAGGCTGTGTAGTCGGAATATTCCAATTACAACCTAACATTGTGTAAATAACTAAGTAAAGTATTAAGAGATAACTTTATAAATTCTGTAACAACGTGATTGTTTTGATTTATTTTAGATAAAATTTAATTAAAATATTACTAACTAATATTTTACATACACTCGAGAGGTCCAAATAAATGTAAAAACACAATAACAAAAATTAAAATGTCCAATATTTTATCGAAATATAAAAAAAAATAGAACGATTTAAATAATGTATAAATGTTCAAGCCTATCATAAGAAAGACATCTTGTACCTTTCAAACATATAAACTTTATTAGAAAATCTCCTCATTAGTTAGTCTCCTAAAGAATCGTTGAAAACCCTACATCGAAAATTTTCCTTTATTGTAACACTTTCCTTACCTAGTCGTTGGTACAGTAAGATTCAGAAAGACCAATACGCTGTATCGTATAAAATCGATTTTTTTTTTTTTTTTTTTATTATGGTGGGCCTACATAAGAAGGCAAGATTCTCCTATATTTAGGCTGAAGAAGAATTACAAAAGAGTTCATGGATAGCTTACTCGGATATATGATATGGCGACAGTTAACATACCATATAATAGATTGTGGAGGCTGGTTGAGAGAACTTTTCGCTTAGAAATACATATTTAAATCGAGATAGGTATGGATGCCGCTGGGCACTCCAATGTCTCACGCCGATCAATGCTAATACTCATATTCTACCCAACAGCAAACCCAATGATTGTAAAAATTTTTTATATGTGTGGGTTAAGAAATAAAGTTATAAAAACATTTTAAAATAATTAAATATTGTTTTTCTCTTGCTAATTTAGAAATAATATATTTTATTCTAATTTCCATTGAGTCAATGATAAATAATTCATAGTATTGTCCAACAAACGATTTCGCATAAATGTTGACCATATTTTTCATTTCCCAAGATAATTTTAACTACATATACACTTACACATATACACTTCTGAAAATTGATTAAAAGATGTATATAAATAGAAAAAAAAAATTCAATTTTAATTTATAAGCATAGGAAGAAGAACAAAATTATTCTTTTCATTGTAACAAGTCAAAATTAATTCGAAAGAAGGCGTTGTTCGTATTATATTTACTTTTCAGAATGAACTACTAAATTACTCTTTTTCAACCAAATTCTAACATTTTTATACATTAATTCTAATCCCTTTGAGTGAATAAACATAACGAAATGGCTTTTGAACGTATGAACAGATGAACTCGTTTGCTCAGTAGAGAGCGAGCAGTGAAAACTGTTGGACTTCTGTTTAATTGTATATAGTAATAATATCCTCTCCAAGAATTTACATAGCGCTTTATTTGAATTTTTAACCCACGATGTAATCATTGCTGTTTTATATTTCCCATGGTAAAACTGTTATATTAGACATCAGCTTTCAATTTCATTCATACATAAATTAATAATATAAAACATAAAATTATTATAGAAATCTACGTTTTCTTTGTAACTTTACAATTATACAAAAAACTACAGTAATAAACCTAAAAGAATTTTCTAAAAAAAATACAACAAGTAATTCATCTCCTAATGACTGTGCTGGCAGAGTATTTAAATATGTTTTATATTTTACTACAACCGGACTGCAGTAGATTAACATTTTATGGATTTAACCTATTCAAGACGGAACGAAACACAACTGAGCATATTTCTGTTGTCTGGGCGGATCGTCTAGATTACTTTGATTTGATTTAATAAACAATCATTTATTTACAAAATGTTTAGGGCTTTTCAACAATCTGGATCATTTTCGCCTTATATTACAATTTTTTAATCAACTAATAGTATTACTCAAATTACACAACTACAGATGAAAAATACAGTTTACCAATAGTTTACAGTGAATATAGGAAGTTGATAAATAGTACAGCTTAACAAGTATACAAGCAGACTTAAAAGTACAGATGAAATCAGTATTAAATATTAGAGATCAAATAAATTGAAATAAAAATTGGTAAAATTACAAGTTAAATATTACAATAATAATAATTACCATCTACGATTTAAAAATTTTTAAAATTACAAGAAGAATTTTTTTTGTCATAAAAATGTATTTGTGCCTGTCAACTTATTGGTGACAATCAGCAAATGTGATGGCGATACATGAAATAATGACATGACAGATATGGGGAAGGAAAGTAATCAGCAATACCTCTATCCTAACTTGTTCCAATTACTTAGGTTGTTTAAGGAAGGAGATCTCTCATTCAACGCCTTTTTAGTCTCCTCCTCATGTTCTAAGATATGTCAGCTGTGGCCATGTCTCTTATTAGTCTGTTATTATGACGATTTAAATTTGTTTAAAATCGTTGATAAAGGGTCGTTATATCTTTTTTTCAACTGTTGGGAAGTCGTGGTCAGTATGTGTGAGATTTGTTAGTCACGTACCAAGGTACTTTTGTTATGAGTAGCAATAATTTGATTGGAACGTTTGAAGTTTTTGTAGGTGGGTCTTTTTAGCGATGCCGTATACTTGTGATGAGTACGTCCATATGGGCTTAATAAGTATGTATATGTATTCAGTTTCTGTTTGACTTTTAGTTTTGAAGATTTAGAAAAAATAAAGTGAAGTATTTTGAGTCGTTTGTTAAATGTCTTACGTTTCATTTTAACATGCGAACCCCATGTCATCCTTCTGTCGAAGGTGAGTCCAACGTAAAGCACCGTGTTCGTTTGAGGAATTTGATTGTTGTCAATATAAACTGGAGGGCAGGTGTTTTTTCGAAGAGTAAATGTTTTATGTTTGGATTTGTCATGATTAAGTCGAATTTTCCATAGTGTGAACCAATATTGTAATTTAAGTAAGTGATGTAGTATTAGTGAGGCCAGTGTAGGGTCTTGATGTTTTGTGAGAATTGTTGTGTCGTCTGCATAAGTATCTGTCAAGATCTCATCGTTAATATTTATATCGTAAGTGTATATAACGTAAAGTAGAGGGGCTAGTATTGAACCTTGGGGAACTCCTGCCAAGATTGGATGAACTGAAGATATTTCCGAGCCCTGCCGAACTGAAAAAAATCTGTCGGAGAGAAAAGATTTAATAAATAT